TAACACAAGGTATGTGGGATATCTTGGACCACTCTCGTCCTTTATCCCTTTTACACTGTTCTTTTAACAAAGAAAAACCTTAAATATTTGTTGCCTAGGCAAGAGAAGTACGAACTTTTCTATCACGACTCAGTTATGACTTGATTAAGGTTTTAGAGATTAAGAAGAGAACGAAAGAGAATTGAAAAAACTAAGGAGAGAGCAGAGAAGAATTTAGGAGACTAAAAAGTGAACAGAGAGGAATTTAGAGGAAAAAATATCTTTTCATTCATGAAAATCAATTATAGCCATAAATTATTTAAATACAGCTACAAGCTGTAAAAAATACAAAGTTGCAAGAGTATTACTAGTCAATAGATTAATAACTAACCATAATATATTAATAACTAACATCACCATCTTCCTTCTCATATTCACGCCTTTTGTTGTAAGTGTTCGGCTCATCTCTTAATGATTCTTGTTATTTTTTGTCATAGTCTTGCTCATGCCACTATCGCTCTTTTCCATCAAGCTCATCACAATACCCTCATTTTCACCACATTTTTATCCCTAAGGATCAAATTCTGGAAACTATGACTTCAATAATATATAGTCTTCCCAAGTTGAGTTATCAAGCCCTAAATTTGACCATACCACCAGGAGTTGGGTAACAGTTTTGTTATGCCTCTTAACCATTTGTTTATCAATCATAGCAGCAAAATATACAAACAGTTGTCTATCTTCATTAGTTTCTGGTGGAGCTAGGCTAGGAACTACCTTGTTTCTAACTTTTTTTTTAACAAACCGACATTAAACACTAGATGAATTTTAAAAATAGGAGGTAACTGCAATTTATAAGCAACTGAACCAATTTTGGCTAATATAGAATAAGGACTATAATATCTGGATGAAAGTTTTAAACTCACAGCAAAGAGGTTTGTTTATAAGGTTGGAGTTTTAAAAACTCTCTTTCACTTCTTTTCTTGTCAGCATATAATTTCATCCTCTATTGAGCTTTATTCAACTATTCAACTATCAACCTACTGACTTGTTCTTTATCTTTCAGTAATTCCTCCACATTCACCCCTTTTGCTTAAGTATTTGCATCCCATGCTGTGGTTTATAACCATACAAAGCCTGAAATTAAGACATTCCCATAAAAGGGTAATAGTTTGTATTATACCACCATTTGGCTAACGGTAGCCATTGAACCCAACTTTTAGGCTTGAAAAACACATACACCGTAAATACTGCTTCAAACATTGATTAACTCTCTCAGTTTGCCCATAAGATTCTGGATGATAAGTTGTACTGAAATGAACTGTGGTTTCTAATAATTTCATCAACTCTTACGAAAATAGACCAGTGAATACTAGATCTTTGTTAGAAATAGCAATTCTAGGAATCATATGTAGTTTATGAACTTGGCTTAGATATATTTTAGCTACTTCCATAGCTGTAAAAGGATGGGACAAAAAAAAAGTGACTATTCTTAGTGAATTTATCCACTATCACTATTTAAATTTTTTAGATAAGGGCAACCCTACAACAAAATCCATGTTGATTACATTCCAGGCTTGCTGTGGTATAGGAATTGGATGCAGAAGACCAAGATAAAAAACATGTTCATCTTTGTTCTTTTGATAGGTATCACACTATTAGATATATTTATGGACTTATATCTTTATCTCAAGCCAATAAAAATTCAATTTAAGTCTGTGGTAGGTAGCTTGAATTCTTGAATGCCCCATTGAGGTGAATCATGCAAGGCTTGCAAAATTTTCTCTCTTAATTACCCACTATTACCTACATACACTTTACCTTTAAATCTTAAAACTCCATTATTGAATAAATAGTGAAAATTATAGAGGATGGATGATAGGAGCTTTAATTTGCTCTTATGACAGTGTATCACCATTATAACTATACTTGATCTCCTTTATCTACTCTAGTATAAATGTAGTGGATTGCAAGCTATAGCTTTGTGCTTCCTCTTCATGTTGCCTAGATAAGGCATCTGCTGCTATATTCATCATGCCCTTTGTATACTGTATAGAGTAATCCAATCCAAGTAATTTGGTTAGTTTTCTTTTTTGAATGGTGGTGGTCAACTTCTGCTCAAGCAAATGCTTTAGGCTTCATGATCTGTCTTGATAATGAATGGTTTTCCTTCCAAGTAGTGTCTCCATTTTGTTATTGCCATTAGTATGGCTAAATACTCCTTTCATAAATAGAAAGGTCTCTATGTTGTTGCTAGCATCAGTTTCTAGTATAAAAGATTTATTGATATCAGGCAATGATAGGATAGAGGCAAAACACATGGTTCCCTTAAGTCAATTAAAAGCTGATATTGTTGCAAGTGTCCACTTAAACCCATTCTTTTTTAAGGCATATCTGTTCAGTGCTTATGGGATCTTCTCTATAGCTTTTTATTGAACTTTTTATATCCACAATCCAAAAATCCTTAAGCTTTAGCTCTCTAGGCCTGTGACCAGTTTGCATTGCTTTTTTAGCATTGATCTATAGTAACCGCCTTACACTGATTGATGTTGCCTAAATATTCAACCTGTCTTTGACAAAAAAAAAACACTTGCTTTTTTTTTGCCACAAGTGTGGTTCTTTAGTCTTTACTAGATACATGTTTAAATGTTTTGCATGTTTTTTCAAGTTACAACTATAGACAAGAATATCATCAAAAAATACTAGCATAAATTTTCTCAAATAAGGAGCAAATATATCATTCATGAGAGATTGAAAGGTCACAGTTGCATTGGTAAATCTAAATGGCATTACCTTAAATTCGTAATATCCTTGATAAGTTCTGAAAACTGTCTGATGAATGTCATTTATCTTGATCTGAAGGTTTTTTTAGAAGTAATGGGCTCCTTTCAGCTCATCCAGAGGTTTTCCACTATAGGTATAAGGAATTTATTTTTCACTGTCATTGCATTTAATTTTCTGTAGTGGATACACATCCTCCAAGTGCCATCCTTCTTCTTAACTAACAAACATAGAGAAGCAAAAGACTCTTGCTAGTTCGTATAACGAAGGAAGACAACATTTATGCTATTTGACTTTCAAGTTGAATCTGTGAGGTCTTAGGCTAAAAGGTTGAGAGCCTAGTTTCAAGGGTATGTTATGATCTTGCACTCTCTCTGGTGGTAATCCTGTAGGCTCCCTAAATATGTCCTCGTAAGAAGCTATTATTGGCTCAAGCACAGTTAGTGTTTCCACATGATCACACTTCTCACCGATCATGAACATTTCTCTCAACATCTTAGGATCCTTGCAGGCTAGCTTCTGTAAATTATCTCAAAAAATAAGCTTTAGGCTAGCTTTCTTAGGACCACCTTCTTTTAATGCAACTTTTTGTCCTTCTTTTAATGCCAAGAGAGTTCACCAGGAGAGTTTACTTCATTGATGTTGTATTAGGAGTGACTTTTTGTGGTTGGGACCAAGGTTTATAAGGGATCTCGAAAGGAATATAGGTGTTATTGGTGGAACTGGGTTTAGCAGGGTATTCAACTTCCAAGGCTAGCTGATATAACTTAGCTAACCTATAAGCTGTTGTCAAAGTCCAAGGCTCACTAGCTTAACTCTTGGTTTGAGATTTTTCTTTAGGTCATTTATAAAACTGGATACAAAATATAACTCATCCAAATGGGGGTTATTCTGAAGCATGAATGGCCTAAACTCTTTAAATTTCTCTTGATATTCTTCCACTATGCTCTTTTGAGTTAGTTTATTAAATTTCTCAATTACATCTAAACCGATCTTGTCTAAAAATCTCTGACAGAGATCATGAGAAAATTTTTACCATGTAAATTTTGGTTTCTACATCAAATATCCATCAAACCAGATTTCTACTCTACTAGCTAAATACATAGCAGCTATCTTCATTTTTGATGAGCTAACCATCCAAAAATGCTAAAATACTTCTGACATTTTCTTAACCATCCTCTAAGATTCTCACCTTTGAATAATGGAAGTTCGATTTTTGGCCAAGAAGTAAAAACATTTAAGCTTATGGGTAGTTGGTTCTAGATGAAGCTTATTGCCTGCCATCATGCTATTATGTATATTATTAAGGTTACTGTCCTGAAGTTTGAGTAGTAACCCCGGATCATCAGTCCTATAGCTAAACTTATTATATTCATCAATAACAGTTATCTTAATAGGATTCTTACCCTCCCTTTTAGTTTGCACAAGCCAAATGAGAACTACCAACATGCTCATTTCCTCCTAGATCTGGCTGGGTTAGATATTCTCCTTTCTGCAATAAAGATTCCAGCATCTTGGTCAAACTGTTTTGATTCTCAACCATTTTGATTTCCAACTCCTTTTTTTTTATCTTCTCATAGTTTTGACATGCAGATCTGTGTTGCCTTCATGTCCTTCAACTACGTCAAGATATTTTGGACTTGTTCATGCAAGCTATTCAATCGAGTGCCTTCAGCAAGAGTTTTTCCTACTCTTTCCCAACGTTGATATAAGATCGCAACGAGCTCTGATACTAATTTATCATGACTCAGTTGTGACTTGATTAAGATTTTAGAGATTAAGAAGAGAACATAAGAGAATTAAAAAAACTAAGGAGAGAACAAAAGGAATTGAGGAGACTAAGAAGAGAATAGAGAGGGATTCAGAGGAAAAAATATATTTTCATTCATAAAAATTAATTACAACCATAAATTATTTAAAGACAGCTATTATGGAACTGTCATGCAAACTGTAAAAAATACAAAGTTGCAAAGTATTACTAGTCAATAATTTAATAACTGACCCCAATATATTAATAACTGACATCACCATCTTCCTTCTTATATTCACCCATTCTATTGTAAGCTTTCGGCTCATCTTATAGTGATTCCTGCTATTTTCTGTCATAGTCTTTCTCATGCCACTATTGCTCTTTTCCATCAAGCTCATCACATTTTCTAGAAGAGATTTGAGCTTGGAGCAATTATAGATGTACAAGTACTTCTGCAATCCCTTGAAGGATAGGCATTTTGGATTTTGAAATTTTGTTACTGTTGTCAACAATGGAGGGAGGCAGAATCAATTGCATCTCATCAATGACACACTACACAGACTTTAATGAGAATAACCCTGGAAAGAGCACTGAGGAACTTCCAATTTCTTAAATTTAAAGCAGGCATGCTCCAGTATAAACAAACTAAGAATTTCACAAGGCAAGTATAATTAAAAAAATTCCATGCATATTTTCTGATAATCTTTTCAATTTCGTATCGTAAATGACATTAAAAGCTGCACAGAATCAACTGATCCCTCCAACCTTGATGGTTACTAGTTCTGAAGGACAAACCATGAGATTTGCATAAAGGGATCTTGAGAAATGCCTGCATTTATACAAGCATTAGTCTTTTAGTGTTAAAAGTTCTCACATTGATCATGTCATAGTTAATTTCAATGCAGATAGGAAGAGAAAAAGGACAAGCGTTGACAGCACTTCTCTTGCCGTTGAGTAATAGAAAGCCAACTTTGTCACATATTTGACTTTGAAACTATATTTTACCAGTAAAAATAATCAATAAAATGTCATACTTGCTACTTGTTACAATCATCTATCGAATGAGAACCAATAAATCAAATACTCGTATTTAATTATCTTGCCTATCTTGGAAACCATCTCATGCCGGTGGTACCCTTAGAATTGTGATGATGCATCCATCAATAACACAACAGATGGTGTGTGGCTATCTTGGACCATTCTCAAACTTTATCCCCTTTTAACCACATTTTTAGCAAAGATAGTTGCTCAAATGAGAGAAGCATGTCTTTTTCCAGAATAGACGTGTGGCCATAAATGCACGAATACTGAAGAGAGGTGAGGCTTTGAAAGCTCTTGGAGGATACGTATTTCATATTTTGGAGATGATGGCATCTCCAAACACCCTTCAATAGTATAATGAAATGTCAAATATCTTTAACTAAAATCCCATATGCAATCTTCTTTATTAGAAGTTAATAAAAAACTAGTGCAGTCTTCATTTTGATTAATAAATGAAGTAATGAACAACACTTTGCCCTCATTAAAATAAAAAGAAAATTAGGATAGACATACCTATGATTGAATAGGGTATATTCATTGGTTTTCTCACAGTTTCCTTCTCGTGAGGTCAAAAAGATTCCACTTTATCTCCCAGATAACAAGTAATCATCTGTTACTAATACAAGCATAAAGCAGATATGAAATCTTTAAGCAGCCCTTCCTTTATCCCTTCCATGCTGTTAATTTAGCAGGGAAAGGCCATCAATACATAGTTTGAGAAGAGAGAAAGCAATTCCTTTCCGGAAGGGATGCACAAACTTGGAGCGAAGTTCTGAAAGCTCTTGAAGGTATTCATAATCAGTGAATCCCTTAGGAAAAGGAGATATAAGACTTAAGCAACATTATTCCTATCTCATATGTGGCAAAGCTATAGCCTTCTAACATCTATCATCATCAAAGAACTTCAAATGATTGGCCAAAAAAATGTCTAATAAAGGTTAGTTTGTGAAGACCTACCCAAACAAATTTACAAAAGTAATATTAACAGAGATGCAATCTTATTCCCCATTCCTCTGTCTCTCCAAAAAATTTACAAAAGTAAGATCAAAATGTTAAATGAGCACAAAGAGACTAGATGTGAACAATGAAAATGTAAGAAATAAGTTAAAGGGTTGGCAAAAGAAGCATAGTTGGCATAGTTTGAAATTATATAAAAACTATACAAAATTTTCATCACATTAAGAATGGAGAACATTTTTTCAATATATAGAACTAATTGTTAATTGTTATGAACAATATTAGAGATGGAAAAAAAACATTCTGCATTGTAGATAAAAGTTGCAGAGAATTAATTAAATGACCGTTACATTAATCAAATAGGTCAAAGCAGACTTAGATAGCTTCGATATTTTCCTTGAAAATATTTTTTTAAACAAGCCCGTTTCCCACCACTTTAGCTTCCAAATTGTCTGTAAAAAATCATAGTAATCACTATTATTGTCTTGATGCTAAGGTAAATAAAATAAGTCAAAATGAAAAGCACTGGAACGCTCTATCCTTAAAATGGCTTCACACCTTTGTTTTGAGCAATGAAATGAGGATTGGCTTTTCCAACGTAATCTTCAATTCAATCCTTTCAGGATGATGCTTTCATAGTCAATTTCAACAGAAGGTATGTGGCCAATCTTGAGCCACTCTCGTCCTTTACCCCTTTTGCACTCTTCTTTTAGCAATGGGCAACAGTGAATCTCTAGCTTCCCAAGCAAGAGAAGCATGTCTTTTTCCTGGAAGAGATGTGAGCATAAAGCAATCAAAGATGAATAAATATTGAAGACAGGAGAGGTTTTGAAAGCTCTTGGAGAACATGTGTTTCAGATTTTCGAAATTTTGTATGGAGAAAAAGGTGAGACGAGGCAGCATCATTCCTATCTCTTCTTCTGGAAACGAAACCACATATGAGCATCCATCACCACCAATATAGAGTTTAAAATGCCTGTAAACACCACATCTGTAGTTATACAGGCATCTTTCTTTGAAAGGTTAGACTTTGGACCTTGACGTTGCTAGTGTAAACGTAAGTGTGGAGGTAAAAGGAAAGGTGAAGCCTTTCAAGTACTACTGAACCTTCAAATAGAGTGATAGAACACCATCTGTCAAGATTTAGCTTTGAAGCTTCAAATTGGCTGTAAAAATGAACATATCACATTGTCATTACTACTATCTTGTATCTAACAAGAATCAAATAAACCAAATATTTATATTTAATTATTTTTCCTGTCTTTTAAATTATTTCATACCTTTGGTATGAGCATGAGAAAATCAGGGCTGCCTCGAGAATTGAGATGATGCATCCACCAACAATTACAACACAAGGTATGTGGCTAAATTGGACCATTCTCATACTATATCCCTCTATCGCTGTTTATTTAGCAAAGATAGTTGCCCAAGTGAGAGAAGCATGTCTTTTTTCGGAAGAGATGTGTGCCCAAAAATGTACAAATAACTAAGAGGGGTGGGATTTTGAAACCCTTGGAGGATATCTAATACAGATTTCAGAGATGACCGCATATCCAAACATCCTTCAATAGTAATAATGAAATGTCAAATATTTTCTAACTAAAATGCCATATGCAATGTCATAAATTTTGCAATCCTATTTCTAAGAAGTTAATAAAAAAGAACACGGTGCGATCATCATGTTTATTATATCTATGAATTTAATCCTTTGGGCTTCATATTCTTGTTGAGAATTCTGCACGTAAAACTAAATGAACACCTTGTCCTCATCAAAATTTTGATCAATCATTGAAAATGAAAAAAAAGATAGAAAAAAAGCTTGACATACCTATGGTTGAAACTCTGATTGAATAGTCTGTATTCACTAGTTTTCTGCCAGTTTTGTCCCAGTGAGATCAAACAGATTCCATTTTTCCTCCCAGATAACAAATAAACTGTTACTAGCATAAGAATAAAGCAGAAGGCTATCTTCAACCAATCCATCCTTCATCCCTTTATGGAGAAAAGCCATCATAAATACATAGTTGGAGAAGAGACAAAGGCAGTCCTTTCCAGAAAGGATGCTCAAACGTTCAGTGAAGTTCTCCAAGCTCTTGAACATTGGAATTTGATATTAGGCAAATCCCTGAAGACAGGAGAGGTATAAGAGGTAAGAAACATTACTCCTATCTCATATGTGGCAAAAGATTGCATCTTAAAATCTATCACAGTGAATGAATGTCTAATGAAGGTTAGTCTGTGAAGACCCCTTTCCTGTGTGTCAAACAAATTTACAGAAGTAATAGTAGTAAAGAACTAACTAACCACTCTATCAATCAAATAAGCTAGAGCAGAGTTCGATGGCTCCACCATTTTCCTTGAAAGGATCTTTTAAAATCCCATTTTGTCACCAATTTTGCTTTCAAAGCCTGCAAAAATAATAAAAAAAATTATACTGATTGCAATTATTATCTTGTTGGCAAGGAAAAACAGATAAATGGCAATGAGAATTGATCAATATTTAAAGTGGTTTCACACCTGTGGTTTGAGAGTGGGTAAATCATGGCCGAAGTTCCATTTAATTCCTTTGGGATGATCCTGTCCCAATCAATTATAACAAAAGGAATGTGGGCAATCTTGGACCACTCTCATCCTTTACCCCTTTTGCACTCTTCTTTTAGCAATGGACAATCCCGAATCCGTAGTTCCTCAAGCTAGAGAAGCATGTCTTTATCTGGAAGAGCTGTGAGCTTAGAACAATAAGAGATGTACAAATATTGAAGAGAGGTGAGGTTTTGAAAGCCTTGGAGAATATGTATTTCAGATTTTCAAAATTTTCTATACAGAAATGGGTTAGAGAAGGAGGCAGCATCATTCCTATCTCTTCTTCTGGAAATGACACCACATCTTAGCATCCTTCACCTCTATTGCAGAGTTTAAATGTCTGTAAACACAACATCTGTAGTTATACAGGCATTTCTCATTGAGTGGTTAAACTTTGGACAATGATGTGGCTAGTGTAAGCATCAGTGTGGCGGAAAAAGGAAAGGTGAAGCCTTTCAAGTACTACTGAAACTTCAAATACAGTGATAGAACACCCCCTGTCAAGATTTAGCTTTGAACCTTCAAATTGGCTGTAAAAGTTAACAACATATCACATTGTCATTACTTCTATCTTCTATCTAACAAGAATCAAATAAACCAAATATTTATATGTAATTATTTTTCCTATCTTTTAAACTATTTCATACCTTTGGTATGACCATGAGAAAATCAGGGCTACCCTGAGAATTGTGATGATGCATCCACCAACAATTACAACACAAGGTATGTGGCTATATTGCACCATTCTCATATTTTATCCCTCTATCGCTATTTATTTAGCAAAGATAGTTGCCCAAGTGAGAGAAGCATGTCTTTTTTCAGAAGAGATGTGTACCCAAAAATGTACAAATAACTAAGAGGGGTGAGATTTTGAAATCCCCTGAAATATCTATTACAGATTTCGGAGATGACTGCATATCCAAACATCCTTCAATAGTAACAATGAAATGTCAAATATTTTCTAACTAAAATGCCATATGCAATGTCATAAATTTTTTAATCTTATTTCTAAGAAGTTAACAAAAAAGAACATAGTGCAATCATCAAGTTTATTAATATGTTTATGAATTTAATCCTTTTGGCTTCATATTCTTGTTGAGAATTCTGCATGTAAAACTAAATGAAGACCTTGTCCTCATCAAAATTTTAATCCATCCTTGAAAATGAATAAAAAAGAATGACATACCTATGGTTGAAACTCTGATTGAAAAGGGTGTATTCACTAGTTTTCTCCCAGTTTTGTCCTCATGAGATCAAACAGAGTCCATTTTTCCTCCCAGATAACAAATAAGCTGTTACTAGTACAAGCATAAAGTACAAGGCTATCTTCAACCAATCCATCCTTCATCCTTCTACGCTGTTAACTTTTACCGAGAAAAGCCATTATAAATACATAGTTGGAGAAGAGAGAAAGCAACTTCTTTTCAGAAAGGATGCTGAAACATTCAGTGAAGTTCTCCAAGCTCTTGAACATTGGTTTTTTATATTAGGCAAATCCCTGAAGACAGGAGAGGTATAAGAGGTAAGAAACATTACTCCTATCTCATATGTGGCAAAAGATTGCATCTTAACATCTATCACAGTGAATGAATGTCTAGTGAAGGTTAGTCTGCGAAGACCCCTTTCCTGTTTGTCAAACAAATTTACAAAAGTAATAGGAGTACAGAACTAACTAACCACTCTATCAGTCAAATAAGCTAAAGCAGAGTTCGATGGCTCCACCATTTTCCTTGAAAGGATCTTTTAAAATCCCATTTTGTCACCAATTTTGCTTTCAAAACCTACCAAAATAATAAAAAAAAATACTGATTGCAATTATTATCTTGTTGGCAAGGAAAAACAGATAGAAAACACTGAAAATTGATCAATATTTAAAGTGGTTTCACACCTGTGGTTAGAGAGTGGGGAAATAAGGGCCGAATTTCAATTTAATACCTTCGGGATGATCCTTACCCAATCAATTTCAACAGAAGGTATGTGGGCAATCTTGGACCACTCTCGTCCTTTACCCCTTTTGCACTCTTCTTTTAGCAATGGACAACCCACAATCCGTAGTCCACCAAGCGAGAGAAGCATGTCTTTATCTGGAAGAGCTGTGAGCTTAGAACAATGATAGATGTACAAAGATCGAAGAAAGGTGAGGTTTTGAAAACCATTGGAGAACATGTATTGCAGATTTTCGAAATATCCTATGGAGATAGAGGTTAGAGAAGGAGGCAGCATCATTCCTGTCTTCTCTTCCGGAAACGACACTACATCTGAGCATCCTTCACCGCTAATGAGGAGTTTTCGGAGAGAGGTGAGTCTATGCAATCCCCATTCAACAAGTGAACAATAAATTTTGGGTGCTTTGGAGATTTCTAGAGATCTGAGGTTGGAAGGGAAACCCTCTTCTGGGAAGAATATGTCAGCCGAACACTCCCACACTTTCAATTCCTGAAGGGAGGTGAAGTTTTTCATGCACTTGGGAAGGGCTCCAAAATTTTCACAACCCTCGATTGAGAAAATTCTGAGGTTGGCGGCGGGCGACCCACTTTCTTCCAAAGAAACCAGATTTGGACACAAGCTAATTTTAATCTCCTGAAGATGGCTGAGCTTGTCTAATCTTCGCGGTAAAGATTTAACATTCATACAGCTGTAGATCCGAATAGATTCAAGACAAGTGGTTTGGTGAAATTCTTGGGCTATGCATTCCAAATTTTGACAAGAATCAATTTGTAGCCGTTTAAGCGTTACAGGTAACTCGGCGTCTAAAAATAAGGAAGTCAGCTTTTGGCAATTCTGAATCATGAGATATCGAAGCCGAATGAGAAAATCACTCCTTGATGATAAACATATTAGAGACTTACAGTCAAAAATCTCCAACCGCTCAAGAAGACATTCGTTACTCGTACTCTTATTTTCTCTTTCATCCACCAAATATTGCAAATTATCGCACTCCCAAATCATCAGCCTTTTTAAAGCAGGGGGCAAGTTATTCTTGGCAAAAGAAACCAAGCTTGGGCACTTTCCAATTTGAATCTCTGCAAGGAATGTGAGACTATGCAAGGCTTTTGGCAGTCTATTGAGCCTTTCACAATATATTATTGTCAGAGATTCAATACTGCAAATCTTCCCAAGTTGCAATTTCTCTTCGTTCACCTCCTCTGTCTCTAAGGACACCAGTTGGGGGCAGTCAGATATTTCAATCTCGCGAAGGGAGCTTAGATGCCCAAGGAATCCTAGCCCGTTTTGCGATAAAGATGCCAACTCCTTACAACCACCAAGGCGAAAACGTTCCAATTTAGGCAATGTGGACACTATCCTCTCTGGTGGAATACCAAACTTTGAAATGCCTGAAAGAGAGACTCTTTTCAATGAGGTAACGTCCACACAATTGCTATACATCAATTCTTTACACCCATGTATTTCTAATTCACATAGCAATGGAAGTCTTGAAATTGAAACTACCAACTGCTGACACCCACGAATTACAAGTTCCTGTAAGGAATGAAGACAGTTAGGCAGCCTTCCCAACAATTGAGGACACTCTAGGATTGAAAGCTGACGAAGCCTGGGGAATTTCGAAACTTGATCATCACATTCACAACAGTCCCAATCTTTCCAGTTTGGCATATCCTCAAAACACAGATCCTCTAATGAAGCAAATGCATTCGGTTGATTTCCTCCAAAGAACTCAACACCAATTTCTTTTACCTCATCCATTCCCCTAACGTAAACATTTTTCAACCTTGGCAACTTTCCAATTGATGGTAGTGATTTGCAATTTTTACAATTGATGAGCTTCAAAGACAACATATTTTCAAAGGAAGAATCTGCTATCCAAAATGAGAATTTTGCACCTCCATAATTCACAATGCTGAGCTCCTCAAGCTTCTGTTTATGAGGACAAAGAAAGTTCAACACCTTTTCTTCCACTTCTTTATTCCTTGCGTTATTACCAAAGTGACCACTCCACTTTAATTCCAACTTATCAACCTCTGCCTTTTCACTTAACTTTGCTTCCCAAGCATCTTGATCTTTAACAACGTTCTCCAATCCTGAAAGACAAAATTCACCCTTGAGATTTGACAAAATTTTCACCTCTTTTATAAGATGACCATCGCCTCCGCCTAAAACAAAATCAGATAGCCTTTGAAGATTGGTTAGTTTACCAATTCCTGAAGGCATCCTTTTTATTAAACGTGCACCCCTGATGCTAAGATAATGCAAGTTGACCAAATTTTCTATCTCCAGAGGCAATTTTTCAAGTTCCTTGCACCTTTTCAATTTCAAAGTTTCCAAATGATAAAGGGTAAATAGAGAATCAGGTAAACATTTTATTTGAGTGTAAGAAAAATCCAAGTAGCGTAGATGTTTTAAATTTTCAAAAATATCAGGCAACTCACTCATCCGATACCCCTTAAAAGAAAGCACCCTTAAGCACCTAAGTCTAGGCAACAAATCAAAAAGGACAACTTCGGTAAAAAAGGAAACACGTTTCCGTTGCAACCTTAATGGTAGAAAGGTTCGCAAATGCTCCACTTGATCAAATGCTTCAAACTTCTTCACTCCATCATACCGACTTTGAACATAAGATAAATGTCGAGTGCGACGTGAAATTTCCTGTTGTTTACTACCTTCAAATTTGGAGCATATCTTTCCAGCAACAAATTGAGCTAAATCGTTGATAAGGTCATGCATTACAAACAAAGATTTGCCTTTATTAGACATTTGAAAAAATGACCTTGACACTAAATCTCGAAAGCATTGGTTACCGAAATCTCTACATTGACTTCCAGCTTTCTGTTGTAGTAAGCCTTCTGCTCTCCATAACAAGATTATTTCTTCTTCTTCAAATTCATAATCTTTAGGAATTATAGAGCAGTATGCAAAGCATTGTTTCAAATGCGGAGGAAGATGATGATAGCTCAATCGCAGAGCTGGAACTATTCCACATGGATCTTCCGGTAAATCCCATATCTCGCTCTCATATATTTTTTCCCATGCACCACGATCTCTTGTTGTGCGTAATAGGCCTCCGATGACTTTTGCTGCCAAAGGTAAGCCGCTGCACCTTCTCACTATGTTCTGCCCAACATCTTTAAATTCGAGATGTCTATTGAAGTCCCTTGCTCCTAATGCATGTTGAGTAAATATAGATAAACAATCATCATCTGATAATTTATCCAAGGGGAAAGGTTTCATAGTAACCATATTAGATGAAACACTTTGAAAGCGAGTTGTCACAATAATTTTTGTTCCTACTCCAAATGGAGACCGTAAGATGGTCCACTCATTGTAACTCATATCCCAAATGTCATCTAAAACGAGCAAGAATTTTTTTCCAGATAACTTCTCCTTTATCTTGACTTGAAGCAAACTAAAGTCATTGTCATCACATGCCTCGGAAGGAGTGATGAATTTTAAAATTGACTTTGTTATCTTAATGGCATCAAAGTCATCAGAGACACATACCCAGGCCTTGTGATCAAACGAATGTTGTATGCTGGCGTCATTGTAAACAAGCTGAGCAAGAGTTGTCTTACCCATCCCTCCAATGCCAACGATGGAAATGACAGAAACTCTATCTTCATGGCCATTATTACTTTTGAGCAATTCGAGTATTTCTCGCTTCTCATCGTCTCTACCAACATAAGCAACAGTTTCATCCATCACAGAAGTGGGTTGCAGCCTTGTTTTCATCCTCGTGGAGCTTGCACCTTCAGAAGTCTTTGTCAAGCCCAATATACTTCTTCGTTTTTCCAAAACATCCAGTCTAGAGTTAATCTCTTTTATCTTGGGAATAATCGCATCACAAAATGTAAAAGAAGTTGCAGAGAAATAACTAATAACGAAGGTAGGACTGAATTTCCGTTTCTTACTCGTGCTGGCTTGAGCTTGAGTTTTTTGTTGGAGCTTGAGACGTAAAGCTTCATGAGCAAACTCGTCCAAGATGTCATCTGCATCGTAAGCCAAATCTTGGAGATCCGCCAACCACTTCTTCACGAGCTCATCCTTGATCTGCTTCTGCTCTGCATCATTCAGCACTGCTAGGATATCTGGCAACTTTGATTCCCACTCCTTGAGCTGCTCGCAAACTTGCTTGTGATCAGTAACAAAGTTGAGTGCAAAATTGCCCAACTTGTCAAACAACAGCTGCAAAAACGCAGAAAGAGCAGCCTCTCCAATGACAGACATAGTGGAAAGGAATTATAGAAACGAAGGTGAAGAGAGATGAACAAGAAGAACAGAAATACGGATAAAACGAGATTAATTCTCTTTAATTTGTAAGAGTTCAACAACTCCGTGATGCTAACGGAAGACAGTCTAACCCATAGCCACCGAATTTCGATTCGGTTGGATGTTTTAAAATCTGATATATTTTTTTAAATAGGATATCTAATCGAGTCAAATAATAATAAAATTAAATTAAATTACATTTGAGATCGAATTTTAAATAAATTTAATTCGATTTGATATATAAAATTTATTTTTAATTTATTATTTAATTTTATATTTATATTAAAATAATATTTTATTAATTTTAAATAAAATAAAATATAATTTTATATAATATTAAATTAAATCAAATTTAAATATAAAAAAATAATCAAATGATATCGAATTCAAATTTTATATATACAATTAAATCGAAATAAGAACGAATAAAAATTTAGTCCGATCTTATCGGCTGTCGTACCTAATCAATGTTGTACCTAATCCACGCAGCTTCCTAATACCTAATTTTCTGCGGCTAATAATTCAGACAAGTTAGGTAGGCATCGACTTGTAGTCGATGAATTCTGATTGAAAGGTGGACCCCAAGTAGCCAGTAGTGCTGATGGGAAAACAGCAGGAAAGTAGAAATGGCGTCCTATTAAGTAAGGCACTGTGTGGGTAGTGCTCTGAAAAAGATGAAATTATTGCACACCTCTCATTTCTTATCTGCCTTAAATTGTTAGTGTTTTCTTTTTTATTTGTTGAAAGAAAACAAAATTTAGTGCACTTTGATGGTACCATGTGGGTTGAAGTTTGTTTTTTATAGCAGCAAGTATCTTTTGCTTTATTATCTCTACGAACAACAAAATTATAACAATAAATAATTAATTAAATCAATTAAGATTATTTTTTTTTATAAAAAAATTTTAAATTTAAATTTTATCAATAATTATTTATTAAAATCATTTTAAATATATAATTTACAATTATTTATTTTAAATTATCAGATATAATATATCTTATTTTAATTTTAAAAAATAAATATTCTATTTGTCCTCAAATTTTATGAAAAAAAAAAAAAAAACAGTTATTCTACAAAACATAAAAAATAAAAGGGAAGTTCCATGGAAGTTCCAGGGCTTCTGCTTTTAATGAGGTTGCCATCAACACAACTCTGTTGTCAATGAAATTCTGATCTGACAGCTTGTCGCACATTGCAGGGAAAGCTGTGGCTTTTTTGCCCTAGACCATAGCAGAATACAACCGTTAAACATCCTAGAATACCAAATGCAGAAGATTCCTCATGACTTGTGTACCATTTTCTTTTCACTCGAGATCACATGTTTGAGGCAAAAATATGATTACAAGAATCGGACACAAACTTAAAGCACATGTATGTTTTATGACAATTAATAACACAATTCAAAGGGCAAAAGCAAGCACAGTTCCAACTTAGCTCCTATCAAATTTTATAATCAAGAAATGCAAATGTTAAAATGATCAAAATTAGACCTTAAGTAAGCCATGAGGCCCCAAGAACAAAGCTGGAGATGCACATATAGCTCCATAGGGTTTGTTTGATTCTGCCTGCTTTTTTAGAAAGTTCACCAGCTTATCTGAGTTAGCAAATGCTTGGGCACCATCAAGTCCTCCTAGAAAATATGCAAAACAAAGTTTAAATATTTAGCAAATAAAGAAAGGGTTGGTAAGAATCAGGAAACAAGGAACATGACAGAATTCCAACATACTGGCAAGACTATGTGGTCGTACGAAATTTTAGCAGCTTCGTCTAGAAGCATATCTGCCATTGATTTTACTTTCCTAGGAACCAGAATTTTCAAGATTGTCTCCAACAGAGGCCACCAGAACATTTGCCTTCGCTGGACGCAGAATATCAATGATCATAACAGCTTCCATTTCTTCTGAGCCATCGGCATTTGGTACAAGGATCTGAAAAATTAATGAAACACAACTTTTATCATAGAAAAGAACCCCAGAAACTTGGTGTAGTAGTACTACAAGAAAGAATGTCAGAACACTTCGAACTGAATATCTGAATGAACTCCCAACTGATTGCACTGAATCATATGTCTGTGGACAATGAAATGAAGAGCATTTGATCTTCTTGCTGCAGTCTACTTACAAACTATCTATTAAATTACATCAACAATAACTAACATTTTGATTCACCTAAGGGAGGAGAAAGCAGAAAGAGGGAATAGAAGGGCCATAATTGCAGCTACGAATATATCAAGTTTAGGCAGCCTATTGTCAATTTGTAGTATTTCCAGCACCTTAAGATTTATCTCGAAATGCACAATCCCCACTAAAGTCTGCCAGACTTTGAAACCATCACCTTGGTCCAGGTACCAAAACTATTTCCATTAAATGTTACATGCAGTCAAGAGTCAAGACATCATTGAAACTAGAAGATTAACAAAACTCAGATGAGTTTCAAGATTCAGCTTTCATCAGCTACGCAGCAACGCAAATACAAAGAGAGCTAGAAATATCTAGGAAAACTGGAAAAGTGCACAACAGGATAAAGGCTATAGAGTTGGTTAATAGGACTCTCAACTAGAACTCGCTAAATGATTGAATAATTGCAGCTAGTCTCAATTTCTTTGAGTTTCACCACAAGGGCTGAGAACAGACTAGTATTTTTCTTTTGGGCTTGTTGTTTTGTTAATTGAACATAACTGCCATATTTTCTTGTTTCTGCGGGCTTTATGGGTTGCTTGTGTGAGGTTCTGTGGACCTTCAATTGGTTTTTGATGTAGTAAAAGTTCTAACGAGTATCAATTTGGATTCTATTGTATTTTTTATATGGTGTGTTTGAATTTATTTAATATAATTTTTCATTGAATTTTTTTAATTATACTTATAATAATTGTTTTTAATCACAATTACAGTAATTATTATTATTATTTTTAATTTTATCGTTTATCTAAATAAAATTTAATTATAAACTATTTACTAACATTTCGAATAACACTCTTAACTGCAAATAAAAATAATTATAACTAAAAGCATAAATTCAAGATTTAATTTAGATATTTATGTAATTATTTTTAAAAAATAATTTTTATTATATTTAGATTTCAATTTCAATATCTACGGTCTTTTCCTCTGTCCCTTAGATTCTCATATTTATGACCTCTTTAAAAAAAAATCCATAAAAAGAAATTTGGATGGATTCAATTAGAACGTTTCGTGAGTGTCCTAATTAAAGTATAAAAGTATTGGAGTGAGAATTAAGATCCTGCATTAACCACACAATAGAAAATCCACTAGAAAATGTATACTGAGACATACTTTAGAATAAAGATTAACACGCCAAATTTCAATCAAAATTTGATAAAATGAAAACAATAAATCAACGTTAAACCTCACGTGAGGGACATTATTGCATTTCCATTCGATGGGATTTAGTTCAGTGATTGTGTACTCATCAGCCCAAGATAATCAATTTCCTTTAAATAGAGATTGCAATGGATAGCCTATAAAATTAGAATATTTTATAATCAGATATGGGTAGTAAAATTATTATTTGTTACAAATTTAGGTAGGGGATGGTGATCTTAGGATATCCACTACCTAAACTGATGATAAATAATATATTTTTTAATATTATGTATATTTTATTTATAAATTATATATTATAACTATAATATTTAACTAAATTAATTCATTAAATATCCCATTATGGGTTTTAATTTTAATTTATTAATTTTAATTTTTTTTAATAATATGTATTTAAAAGTTAAATTTTAATTTAATAAACTAATATTTAACGAGTTTGAATAATAAATGATTATTTCTTATATTTAAATATGGGTAGAATTTAAATAGGAAAAATTAAAAGTTTTTATATAATTATCGAATTTAAATATCTTAATAAATAATTAGATTTAGATACTTAAAAAAAATCATGGGTAACTTATATATTGAGATCCCCGTTTCTTTTAGCAAACAGTAGTTTGCTTTCATTGAGCTTTCAGTTAGCCAAAGATGGCTTTACCATTCCACGCAAAAGAATGCATAAACAACTACTGTAGTAAAAGTGTATGTACCAATAGCCAAGAAACTTCATCAACTTTTTGTTTGCCGCATAGCATAAGATTTAAATTATGGTTATTAAAATTTAAAAAATTAATATTTTAGCTATAAATGACATGATTGTTGACTTTTAATCGTACAATTGCTCACCGACGCTATGGCGACTGTCAGAACACTTGAACTGAATATTTGTAAGAATTAACGGGTTAACAATTTTTAAGAGAATAAATAATATATTAATATTTAAAAATTATTTAAATTTATTTCAAATAAAATTTAAATTTAATATGATTATTATTGAGTTAATTTTGATTTCGAATAATTTTATTTATTAATTAAATTAAATTTAAATATTTTTATGTTCGATTCAAAAAATTCATAAATTTAATTAAAATTTTATATTTTAATTATTTTAATTAATAAAATATCTTGAATTTAAATTCAAGTTTGAGTATAAATAATCAAAATTTTTTTGAATATAAAAATCAAATTTATTTTTACATGTTAATCGAACAAATTTGAGTAACTCGATTTTTATTTTGAGTTTAACTCGAACTAAAAAAATAAAATTTGATTGAATTCGAATTGAATTTCAAGTTTTGAAATTTGAGTCAAATTTAAACTCGAGTTTAATACTATATCAATTCAAACTCGATCGATTACATTTATAATCTTTAATATATTGTATGATATTTATTAAATTGTTCAAGTCATTTAGATATTTTCTATCATCTTAAGGATTTACTTTTAATTTGGATTGAATTATTATTTATGAAGTTTATTGTTTCTAAAACAAGTAAATATAAGATTGATCATTGAAATTTATCAAGA